AGAACTACTTTAGTTAATAAGACTAGTAGTAGTAAGGCTAATAGTAATAGTAGTAGTATTATTAGTAAAAGTATTAGTAAAAGTAAAAAAAGATATAGTAGTAGTAAAAAGCTAATACTAATACTAGTACTATTATTATTACTATTACTACTAAGTAGTAGTAATAATAGTAATAGTAGTAGTAAAATAAAAAAAATAAAAAATAATAATAAAGTAAAGCTATTAAAAAAAAAATTAAAGATAAAAAAATTAAAAAAAAGTAAAGCTAAAAAGGTTACTTAATTAGGCTAAGTAAAAATAATAAAGTAAGTTATAATAGTATCTTAAGCCTATAAAGTAAAAAGAAAATAGTAAAAAAAAAAAAAAAGATAAAACCTAAGGGGTTACTAGTATAGCCTACTAAAAAGTAAAATAAAAGCTTTTTTTTATTATAAGAATAGTATAACTTAAGGCTTAGGCTATAAGAAAATAAAAATAATAAAAAAAGTAACTATATAATAAAGGCTTACTAAAGGTATATAGTACTTAAAGAGGTATTATAGTTAAAAAAATAAAAAGGTAATAAAAGTATTAAAAGTAAATAAAGTATCTTTATTATAAAGTAAGTAACCTTTAGTAAGGCTAGTTAAGTAATAAAGGCTTATAACCTAGCTAAGAATAACTATAACCCTAGAAAAGTAATAGTCTTAGCCTAAGTAAACTATAATAGCTATAAAAGTAAAATTAAAGGTAATTAGCTAGCTAAAGAGATAGCTATTTACCTAGTAACCTACTAAGCCTAGAGGTATTCTTAGATACCTTTAAGATACTAGGTAGTAGTAAAGCCCTAGGGGCCTACTAGAGTACTACTTAAGGTCCTAAGGACAAGACCTTAAGGGGGGGGATTATATTAGGTGCTAAAGGTAGAGGGGCACTAGGGGACTACTAGCTATAAGGCTATAACTAAAAAAACTATTATCTAAGGGTTATATAAAAGCAGAGTTTATAGGAATAGGAGAATTAGGAGAAGGTAGATTAGAAAATAGTTATAATTAACCCCTAACTACGCTATTTATAGACTCCTCTACTTGGTACTGTAACACCTCTGACACTAATAACCTACTATTAGCGGGATCAGTTGGCTAAGGGAGCCAGAGACATAACTGCTGCTATTTGTAAGTCGAAAGCTGATAAATGATAGTGGGAACTATTGAAAAAGATATTGGACAATGATCAATGCGATGTTGAGAAACGAAATAATGAGCAGCGGATGTGGGTGAGACTGAGTGTGACGTTGGAATTAGCAACATTTAGCGCGTTTTGGTGTGAAGGGTTGATCATGGCCCTTTGACATCCATGACTAATTTAAGTTTAAAGCCCCCAAACATGGCAATCAACTCGACATGAGGTGACCTATATTGCTGCTTGTCTCGCAGAGAATATACAAGCTCACTTTATTGATATCTTCTTGCTCGCTAGAGATAATCACTGTGCTGTGCGCGCCCTCTTAGACGACCTCTCCTGTCCCTCATCTGCAGCAACCTCTTCGGCGCCGGCGGCGCTGTTGCCGAGGCCCGCCACCTGAAGAGCTTCTTTGATGAGGCGCTTCTCGCCGAGCCTCACCTCGACGGCCATTTTTTGGCGCGACGTCAGGTTCCCGGATGCCAGCATAGCCTCATCTTCTTCGGCTGTCGTCGGGTACTGGACCAACAACTTCTGCAATGTGGATACCACGACGCACTGATAGACCTCGTCGCGCTTCCTCTTGTCGGGAATGAGATCACCCCGAACCTTCTTAATCGCCTTCAAGACATCTTTCAGCTGCTCCTCGAGTTCGGCGGATACCTCCTGCACCTTTGCGGGCGTCGTAAGACATCCCTCCGAGTCTGGCTCACCGGATTCGCGCTCCAGAACAAAGACATCCTCGAGATCTTCTGGGTCCACATGCTCTGCCTATACTTCAATCAGCACGAATGTCATTTGAGGGCATCTTGGGTTGGAACATACCACCTGCTTCCAAACTTCATCAGTAAGCCTCAGCTGCTCGTTCAGAGTCGATTGCACGAGATCCCACGGAATCTCAACCACATCGTAGCGAGAGTGCTTAGGGGTCACGTAGCCGTATCTCCTAAGCAATTCGGAGTTGGGGTGGGGGCCGTAGTAGTTCAGGATCTCCTCCCCGGCTTTGATGGGTCGGAGCGCGGTGACACTAAGGTCGTCTTCTCCGTGATTGACATGTGCCTGATCTTCTTTTAGCAAGTCTCACCTGCAAAGACTCGGATTGACTGCTCACGTTGAACTCGGCATCAGCGTTCAAGATGTCGGCCATCGGCACCATACCCAGCATTGTCTTGCCCTCGCGGTCCTCAACCCATTCTTCATCCTCCTGCTCGGGCTCTTCTTCGTTCTCCAGGTCGAAGGCGTACGCCATGATGATACTTCCCATTTGGTGGGCAAGCTGAAGGAGCTCCGATTTACTAGGAGGCGAAACACCTTGAGAGAAGAAGATGCCAGGGTTGGCTGAAATGACAGGCAAAATCCGCGACCGGAACATCTCATCCGCCTCATCCTTGCCGATCTTCGACAAAACTGCGCTCCCCTTGAGGTACTCGAGATCGGGAGATTCCCAGAACATGAGGGTGTCAAAGTTCTCGGGCAAAACCTCAAAGTACGTCTTCCAAGGGGAGGCGTCGCCCTGAAGATACTCATAGATCATTACCAAAATGAGAGAACCCCATGAGTCGAGCGGCTCGTTCTCCATGTCCTCATCGTCGCCGTCATTTCCGGTGAAAACCTGGGGGATCTTCTTAGGGAGCTCGGAGGTCTCAACATTGATGATGCTTTTTCTTGGGATGGCGAAGAGCACCGTCTCGGGTGCAATATCTTTGGTGGCAACTGGAATTCCATTCAGCATTTGAGCGACGTAAAAGACGTGCACATATTACGTACCAATTCCACGTCCAGCGTTCTGACCTCTCAGGTCAACTATTTGGATGTCGTCGTGGAATGTGGCCCCCGGCAAAGACTTGAACCATGACAAGAACTTTGCAGACGCCGTCTGAAAACTATCAATTGTCGCCATGCTGTAGTGTGATCAAAATGAACTCAATATTACCGAGACTTGGATTCTTTCAGATATGAAGTAGATAAATTGACTCTGACTTCTTTTCTGATTGTTGTAGTAGGGTTGGGTTGTTGTGAGTAGGCAACTTCAAGTGGCTCAAAGTTTGGTAAGTCGGAACCAAAATTTTCAGGCCGATAGAAGTACTGTGCCTGTTGTCCTCTTGCGCACGGTCCGACCCACTTTCTTGACCAGACAATAAGGTCAGAGAGAACATAATACTCAACTTCAACATCAAATCTCATCTACTCAAGTAGGTATCGATCGAGCTTCTCGCGAGTTTTAAGTTGATGTGGCTGGCCATGTCAGCCCCTCAAGCACGCATTGCTTCCTCGTAAACAAAGTAGGCTGGCCACACCCACCTATGTGAACTCTTACAACTTTCTTGCTTTCTCATGTCCAAAAGAGAAACTCCTCTCATCAAAGCTATCAGGCAGGTTTACGAAGACATCAGCCTTACTAGTATCAGCAAGCTGAAAGATGTCGATGATTCTCATGTTATTGCGGGGCGAATACAAAACATCTCCCGATTTATCATGCTTTCTTGATCGCTCTTCACAAACAGATATCTCTAATTGATGGCAGAGACAATATGGGTCGAACAGTTCTACGCACGACTTTGTGGCTCAACTTGTTGGCCGTGGCGCGCCTATGTCACTCAACAACACCTATCGCCAAAGACCTTTGCATGTAGTAGCGGCTGATGGACATCTAAACATTTTTCAGTTCTTTCTGACGAATATGGCGGATTTTGAAGTCAATTTGAGTGACATAAATGGTTGGAAAGCCCTACATCGTGCTCGTGCTGCCGGGCGAGTTGACAGGGATCTGTGGTTTTTTCAAAAAGCGCAGGTTTAATATTAGGTGTAAGGATAAATACGGCCGAAAAGCAATTGCATTCGCAGCTACTTTTAGTTCCAGGCCCGCTTTTGACGCTTGCGTTGATGCGTATCAATGGATTCTTCCTTCAGACCGGCAGATTACCTCCAACCCCAGAGGCGTGTGTGTCTCCCTCTAACATACTCACAAGTTTGAGACACTTTACTGGCATAGAGTTACTTATTATCTTGGACTATCCTCGCGTCCTCGCCCAGGAGTGGGCCAACTTGGTAAACCCCCCTCCCCCCCTCTCGACATCCTGCCGCTGCTCCTGGGAAAGTTGTAGTTGTCCGGCTAGTAGCACCAACAGCACAGTTAGCAGCATCGGCAGTAGGGATAGAGGCAGCAGCTACAGCAGTAGCAGGAGTAAAGACAGCAATCTTGGGGGTAAGCACGGAATAAGGGTAAGAATAATAAAATAGTTGTCAAGTACACATTAAAGTGGTTCTTAGTGATCATTATGCACTGGATTATCTTCGATGGGAACATAATATACAACCAATATCACGACACCAGAGTTCGAATAGGCCTAGCCCGCATGCCTCGAATAGAAGAAACCAAACGGATCTTCTGTTAGATATCTCCATCAGCTGTACCCCTCATCGTTGACCTATTTGGCCAGCTCCGATTTCGCTTTTGAATATTCAAAAGTCTTTTGGAATCTTTGTCGACACCACTAGCACGGAGTTAGCGTCCTGAGAAGTTCGCAAGAACAAAGATTCCAACCTACCTCGCCACAGCTGATCGGTTCGTACTTCGGCGGGTTCTTCTCGTCTGTGCACGTCGGCAAGACGGAGCACTGCTCGTTGTGGTTGAAACCGAAGAAGAAGGGCATGGAGTACCGGTCCTCGGGAGCGTAATTGTAGACACGATGCACTGTCGACTGGAAACGATCGTTGGACAATCTCTGGAAGAAGTCGCCAATGTTGATGACGAAGGTGTCAGGAACCGGCGGCACTTTGATCCACTGGCCTTCTTTTGTGAGAACCTGGAGTCCGCCAACTGTGTCTTGCCAAAGCAGAGTGAAGCACTGCAAGTCGGTGTGTGCTCCAAGACCAACATCGATGGTTGTGTCTTGCGCTTCGGTGTTCTTGGGGTAGTAGTTGACCACGCTGTCACTGTGAAGGACGTAAAGTGCATGAGTATCGGCATGTAGACTTTGAACTGCACACAACATACCTTCCAGGATACGTGATGATATCATCAAAATGGTTTTCCGGCACATCCAACGCTAAAGCGAAGATCCTGATGAGACTCCTCGCTAGCGTTATGCAACTTTGCCAATAGGCGACCATGTCGTCTTTGAAGTCCGGCAAATGGCTCGTTCCTTCCCACACAAAACCCTCATGCTTCATCCATGGCTTCACAGCTTCGGGCACGGCGTCCGGGTCCTTGGTCTCGGGATCATGCCGCGGGTCATAACGGAAGCTGAACCCCTCGCGGTGGTCCTTGGTTTCCGTTGGCGATATCTGGGCTGCGCGTTTTGCCGTCCACCCGTTGAAAAACTTGGACTTCTTTTGCGAGATGAGCGCCTTCTTCTCATCAGGCTGCGAGAAGAAGGTCCGCGCCTGCTTGTAAGCTGCGTCGATGGTCGCTTTGGGAATGCCGTGGTTCTTGATGTAAAAGAAACCCGTGTTCTCGGCGGCATCTCGGATGGTGGCAGCAAGGGCCTTGCGCTCTGACTCCGTGCCGCGGATGTTGGAGAGATCGATGACAGGAACCTCGGAGGCGTTGCAGTTCCGGGGTGGGGTTTTCAGGACATCGCGGAATACGGTGCCATAGGCAGACATGAGCTCGAGTTTGTAGCTCTCTGGAACGGTAGCAGTTACGGTGGCGGACATGATGGCGCCCCTTGTCTTGCAATTTCGAATTGACCCGAGTTTGTTTAAGATAAGTTAATGCGCGATCGTGGCTGAGTCTTTATGAGGTGAGTACTTCGTGATGACGTCTGGAGAGTAGCAATAGTCTTATGGTGGCCGTCCCAGCTGCGCCGACATGTAGCTCAAATGTGACGCACACCGTGGTTTGGTTTAATGCCGTTTGAAGTAGCCGCCTAACAAGCGAGTGAGCTTGAGGCTCATTCGGTAGTCCTTTCGTACGCCGCCGCTCTCGGTCGGAAGTCGCCTATCGATCGGATGATTCATACAGATTATGACGTGCGATATGATTCGTCGGGCTTTAGGTTAGCCCTTATCGTTCTCGGACCGGCGCCGATAACGGACGGTGTGGGTCCCGGGCGCATCCCGGTACTTGAAGAGACAGGGGCTGTTTTCCGGGATACTCTCCCCACGGGGGGTTTCCGGATATTTATTCGTAGACGTTTTCACGAACATGACTCTCGATGTTAACTGGTTGCGGCGGAGTTTGGAACCCCCCTGATTTAGTAAAGATAACAAAACAGCCATCACTACCTCTTCCAATGGTTGCCGAGATGGCCGTACGGTCTTATCGTGCAACATGTGTTTTACGGCATCTGCAATGTTCATTTACTCGACGGTCAAAGCATCCCTGCAGTGCTTATCTCCCCCACAGTTCCCGTTCGCCCCTGGTATCTTCAATTTATCAGTACCGTAGCTAAGGGATTCTCCCGAGTAAATATGATTACGAAAATTTGGGACCATGTGAGATTTCGTATAAGTCTTTGTCCAGCCGGCTGCGTCCAAGATTGTCCACGTCAAAGTGAAACACATCTATATCAGACAGGCGGGTGGATATTTTGTTCACCGAGCCATCTCTTCGAGAGTTCCGGAGACTGCCAACCACTAATACCGGACTCAGTAGCTCAACATGGGCCTGCTAAACCGCATCCGCGTGGCGCCGGCCGCTGGCGCAACCGAAGTCCACGGTCGCGACGCTCTCCTCGAGAACGATGACCTTCGGCCTTTAACACGAGCCAATCGTACATTCACCCAGGTGACCTACATAACGTTCTGGTTCTCGGCCACCGCCACCGTTTCGAACTGGTACGCCTCATCGACCGCGCAGGCTCTGGGCCTGTCCATGTGGGAGTCCCTCGCCTGCGCATTCGGAGGGCAATGTCTGATCGCCATCATCATCACTCTCAACGGCCGACCCGGAAGTTGTTACCACGTGGGATATCCCATCGTATGCAGAGCTGCTTTTGGCGTCTATGGTGCATGGTGGCCGACTTTCAACCGAGCCGTAGTAAGCCTTAAATAACTCCTTGAATACAGTCTTGAACAATTAACAAGAGGCAGATGGCAACCGTATGGCTTGGGGTCAGCGCAGTGCAAGGCGGGGAGTGTATCTATGTCATGCTTCATGCCATCATCCCGGGCATAGCCAAAATTCCTAATATGATGGGTGAAGGCTCGGCACTCACGTCAGGGGGGATGATTGGCTTTGTAATTTTCTGGCTTGTTACATGCGCCTTCCTCGTCATCCCCGTTCCCAAGATGCGCGGCCTCGTGTACGCCAAGCTCGGCGTCTTCATCGTCTCGGCCGTGGCCATGCTCGCATGGACAGCGACGAAGGCCGGCGGCCTCGGGCCCGTTATGCATCAGGGTGGCAAAGCAACGGGCTCGAAGCGGGCGTGGCTCATTGTCCAATTCTTCATGCTTGGCGCGGCGAACTGCGCGACCTTTGCCAGCAACGCCGCAGATTTCCAGCGGTACGCGAAGAAGAAGAACGACGTGATCATCGGAAACCTGTTTTGTTTCCCCATCGCCAACTTAGTCGTTGCGGCAGTGGGCAACTTGGTCTGTGCCTCTAGCGAACTGATATTCGGAGAGCTCATCTGGAACCCCGTCACATTACTGGATACGCTCCAGACGGCCGAGTATACCGCGGCAAACCGGGCTGGGTGTTTCATCATTGCTGGCTGCTTCGCCTACTGTTGTATCTTCAGCTCCATCTTTGAGAATTCTTTGCCAGCCGGTAACGATATCGCGGCCCTCTTTCCGAAATACTTTACTGTCCGGAGGGGGTTCTTTGTCTGCGCGGTCGTTTCTTTTGCCATCAACCCCTGGTACCTTCTGGTAAGTCACAACATATTACCTCCACGCCGGCCTTATCGCTAACAGCAAAAAAAAAAAGGGATCCGCCTCAATCTTCGTGTCATTCCTCTCCTCCTACCAAATCTTCCTCTCTGCCATAACTGGGGTCCTTCTCGTCAACTATTATGTCATCGGACGCGGTCGCCTCGACATCCCAGACTGCTTCAGTTCAGCAAAGTCGGGAGCTTATCACTACTCCCACGGATGGAACATCCGCGCCTATGCTGCCTATATAATTGGAATAATTCCGAACTTCTATGGCTTCCTTAACAACATGGGTGTCTCAGCGCCCGTGGGCGTGACAAGGTTCTATTTCTTTGCGTACTGGGTCGGCCTTGCTCTGTCTGGCTTCACATTTTGGCTCACGTGCAAGATCTGGCCGCCACCAATCATGGAGGACAAGTGGATTGAACCGAAAGATTATGTGCGGCCCGAGGAGTTGGAGGGAGATGGTCCTGTCATTGAGGCAATCAACCTGCCGCATGAGAGCTCCCTGGCAGATAACGAAAAAAGCGTCCATGAGAAGACAGTGAGGGTGTAACAGTAGTGTAGTAGTGAAGAGAAAGGATTGTGGTTTATTCTGTATAAATTTAGTAACTGTTCAATACTGACGTGTGGAAGCAGCGAAACTCATCATTAGTTGATTATCTTTGTGGCAGAGAAGCAGCGTAATATTCAAACAAGCTTTTGGCCTCATTGAAAAAACCATTGCCACTATATGTCCCTGCTACACTGACTATCGGTCATATTCAAAGGGCACAACAGCAGTTGAAGACACCAAGAATCTCATTGTAGGTAAAACGCAATTCAAACGGAGTGAGTGATGTAGTCACACGGACCTGCCAATCCACCAGTTCATACGCGCTGGCACCGTCCAAAACTAAAGAACATGTCCGTGCGCAAAATTACATTGTAAATTCCTTAATAACAGGCAGTAATATAAGTAAGAGGGCAATACTATTGAATCCATTAAAAGCAGGGATATATAAACATATCTTTTCACTCTACTGAGCCCTTTAGTTGTTCATGTATTTGTCCTAGACGCTGAGCGTAACGGACTTTTTGGGCGGGTTATGCTGACAGCGTCTAGCTTTTTCAGCTAATCAGAAGCTCTGTATTTCTTAGACGCTGCCAGTGTAGACCACTAAAGAAATCAGTTGCGTTTAGCGTCCAGGAGGAATATCTTGACAATTAAAGGGCTCTATAGAATAAAAAAGATGTATTAAGATACCTAATAGCTTGATGACGTATAAATATTTTCTATATAATTTTAGACTCTGTTTTCATAGAGGAACTCATAATGTAAGCTGGTGCACGGTCGTTGCTTGAGGTTTTGGACGGTGCTAGCGCACCAGACTGTATGTAGATTCTTCATAGAACAACTACTTTATTCCCAAATGATGAGACGCTGCGGTTGATCACACTTTATGAGATACAACAAGCGAACTCACTACCAAGACAATCTTCCCTTCCTAGGCAATACTCAACTCGAAGGTAAAGTCAAATGGTTTAGTGTAACACCTGTACTGCTCAAAAGGCCTTGGCCCCACAGTCGCCGATCCAATTCCATTGTTGTCATAGTCAAGATGCAAAACTGTCATGTTCAGAGGCTTGAGATCATGAGGATGCTCCGCGTCATCCAAGTCGAATGGCATGTAACGCGATGCCGTGAAGCTGAAAGGCTCCGTTTCGACCCTTTTCACGTTGAGCGTTACGCCGCCATCACCAACGACCTGAAGCCACCGGATGTCTTCTCGGTTGCCGTTCTCCTGTGGATAATCGTAGTGGGTAAAGAGGTCCTCTACCGTGGACTCGTAGCGTCCGATGCGGCATCCTTCTTTTGTGTCCTTGTAATTCTCTCCAGGCCCGCGACCGAACCACGCTACTTTGTCGAACTCAACCGGCATGACAGCCATGAGGCCAATGCGGGGGAGGACTTCGGTAACGTTGCCGACGAAGTCGCCATGAGCGTGGATGGTGAGACTGCTAGAAGAAATGGTGTACGTCAAGTCTGCTTCAGCCCCCCACTCAAGAACCTTGGGGGCCACTCGGACCTTGTAGTTGACTGCGAAGCCGCTATCGGTTTCTCCCCATCGAACATCGCGAACCTGGGTGTGCACGCTGCCAACCCGCTCTTCCTCCCAGATAGGGCCGTCGCCATACCACGCAGCATCGTTCTGGGTGAGGGCGCGATAGAAGTAGAGCTCAGGTCCGCGCTGGAAGACGTTGACCTCGTTCATATCTTTTCCTTGTTTAGCTAACAATTCTATCTATAGGCAAAGAGCATGGCCCGCGCTGCCTCCTGGCGGGAGCGCGTCGCCGCCGCCGCCGCCGCCGACGACGACGACGACGCAATGGTAACTTTACTCGACCTTGTTAAATAGAAAGTTGTATCACTAACTGTACTTTTTCTTAGTCGTTCAGCCTTGAGGGGCCGCCGCGCCGGCTGGCGCTCCCTGCCCCGCCGACCAACCCCCTCGCCGCCGCGCCGACCAACCCCTACGCCGCCGCCGCCGCCGCTGCCACCGCCGCTGCCGCCGCGCTGACCAACCCCAACGCCGCCGCGCCGACCAACCCTTTCCGCGCCGCCGCCGCCGCCCGCGCCGCCGCCGCCACCGCCCCTCCCCTCCCCCCCTCCCCTCCAGCAACCCCTGGGCTTCCCAGGGGGAGAAGAAGAAGGAGAAGAAGAAGGAGGAGGAGAAGGAGGAGGAGGAGAAGGACGATGGATCCTTCTCTAACCCTAACATTAATTATATGTATTAATTACCCTTTTTAGCTTCTCCTTTTTTTTTTTTAACAAAAGAAGAAGAAGAAAAAGAAGAAGAAGAAGATTGCTGTTTCTGCTTGATACTTGAAGTAACTTGAAAATGTCTTGAACGTATGGCGAAATGCACCATCCCACAGGCTGTACTTCTTCTTAGTCGTTCAAGCTCCAGGGGCCGCCGCGCCGCCGCACCTCCGCACCTCCCCTCTAACAACCCCTGGGCCGCCCAGGATTACGAGGAGAAAAAGGACGAGGAGAAGAAGAAGAAGAAGAAGAAATCCCTCTCCTCCTAACAGCAATATTGACAGACTCGACTTCGGCAGCAACGTTGTAGATTGACTCCAAAATTAGTTGTACTCGGTGCGCAACTGCTGTACAAGCGTGAAGGCTTCGGCGTGCCCTCTGCATTTCGATGGTGTGCAGAGGTTGAAGGGGCGACATGCTCTGTCTGTCAGGGCCAAGAGGGTATCGCGGTGAGGGTAGCCGCCATGGCGAAGTCCACCATCCCACAGGCTGGTTGGCTCTCTTATACCTCGATCCACACTCGATAGCAATAGACATCCCCAAGCCAGTGCCTGCGATACGCTGCACCCCCGAATTAGCCAAAGCGGGGCTCAAATGCTGGGATGATTGTTTCTCGTTGCTCCACACCCCCAATTCCCCACTGGCGATCCTCCTGGCAGGCACAGCTCCGTATCCAACCGTCTGCGCGCCAGCATTGGCGAGTGTGCACTATGGAAGCATGTTAGGGCAGCAGGGACTAATGTGGTGTAGTAATTAGAGAAGAACACTAATAACTATAAAGGCAACATAAGATACTACCTTGATTAGCTTAAGAGCTTAAAAGAAAATATAATGCCCCTAGACGCTACTAAGTATAAATCCTAGTAGTAGGTAATGCTTAAGCTGAAGTAGGCACCCTTTAATATATATATTTAATATTTAACCTAGGTTACCTGTAAACCTAGCCTCTAAATCTATCTGCGCAATATAACCTACTTATAGCCTTTTCACTGGTGGTAATAATTCCCTACTTCTGATAAAGCTTGCTACTATGAGGTCGCATACCCCATCTGGTGATCCTCTAGGCAGGCGCAGCTCCGTATCCAACCGTCTGCGCGCCAGCATTGGCGGGAGTGCACTTCCCAGACCGCACACTTCCCTCAGAGAGTCTAGGGTAAGTGGTAAACAAACAAAGCAACAAGGCTGGGCAAAATACAGATATAGTTGTCGCTAACCAGAACTCTTGATAGACTTTTCGCGCAACACAACCCACTTATAATCTCTTTACTGGCGGCGATGCCAATAGTAGACCTGGGCCTTGCGCCACCACCCACGAGAGCTCGAAAGAAAACATGGTACCCCCAGACACCGCCGAGTACGAATCCCAGCGGCAGGTGATCGAGGAGCTCAGAATCCATCTGCGCCACCTCACTGACTGACGATGCTAACAGCAGGCCTAGGTGCCTAGGTCGCGGGCAAGCAGACCGCAAGCCTGACCCCCGAATTCGATACACGATCAGCACATTCGACCTGCGAAACAGGCAGCTGAGAGCGAGAGATCGCAAGCCTGGCCCCGAATCCATCTGCAACACAACCCACCTATGACATCTTTATCGCCGACATGAGGTTGCATACCCATCTGGCGATCCTCCTGGCAGGCGCAGCTCCGTATCCAACCGTCTACGCGCCAGCGTTAATCCTCCTGACAGGCGCAGCTCTGTATTCAACCGTCTACACGCCAGCGTTTAGAGGATGCATCTAGAAGCATTATCTTCACAGTACTGCTAACGTTTCCTTCTAGTAGATCAAAGCCGAAAGATGCGTCGCCGTTTTCAACCTTGAGATGTGTTTTGTCTTGCTTAACGTCGAGACTATGTGACTGACGAGCTTGTACCGGAGAGTCATAATGTCTTGTGCGGTTGGTTAGTCGTTACTGGAGCGTTAAGATGAAGCTGATCCCAGGCTACAACATGGCCCTTTTCTGCCCAAACCTTGTCGTTCTTCAGCTTGAACTCAATGGTAATCCACGCCTCGTCAGGGAAGCTCGAATTACCCGTGGGCAGAGTGACAGAGCGATGCTCTCCGGCCGGAATGCCTGGTGGCTCTAGGACACGGGGAGTAGTGGGTACCTCCCCGTCTTGAATCACATGCCAAGAAGCATCAAGCTCCGTGACGCCGAGAAAGTCATAGTGGTTGGTGATAATCATTTGATGTCCGTCCGCGGAAAGTTTCACAGTCACCGGTTGGATTGCCTTGGCATAGTCAATGAGCGAGGGCATGGGGCTATGGTCGGAGAGAACAAGTCCATCCATGATGAAGTCGGCGTCGTTTGGCTCATCACCAAAATCTCCACCGTAAGCGTAATACTCAATATCTCCTTCTTTCTTGAGCAGCCCGTGGTTGCTCCATTCCCACACCAGTCCACCCTGGATAGTGGGTTCAGACCGGAAAAGCTCGATGTATTCTTTTAGACCACCTGGGCCATTGCCCATCGCACTATAGCCACCACATCAGAAAGAGTCAAATGCGAGGAAGAAGCAACATACTGCGCGTATTCACACAAGATAAAAGGCTTGTCCGTATGGTTGCTGAGGAACTTGACAACGCTCTCCGGAGTCGAGTACATCTGGCTGTAAATATCAACCGACTCAGCTTCGCGGTCGGGCTCGTAGTGCGTGATTCGACTCGGGTCTCGCTGCTTGATCCACCTCGCCATGGCATCTAGGTTCTTTCCGTAGAAGCACTCGTTGCCAAGCGACCAAATGATGACTGACGCGTGGTTCTTAAACCTTTCGACAAGCGCCTGAGCTCTGTCGACGTACGCATCCTCCCAATCGGGATTCTGGGAAGTCCACTCCGCCATCGCTTCCCTCGTCTCCCCGACTTTGTCGAACCCGTGACACTCGAGATCTGCCTCGGATATGACGTAGAAGCCGAGCTCGTCTGCAATGTCGAAGAAGTCTGGACGCGGGGGCTGATGCGCGGTGCGAATGGCGTTGATGTTGGAGCGCTTCATCGTGATGAGATCGGCCCTCATACTCTCATAAGGAACAGTCCTGCCGGAGATTGGGTGGTGTTCATGCCTGTTGACACCATAGATGGTAATAGCCTTGCCGTTGACAAGAAAGTTCGAGCCGCTGATTTCAACGCGACGAATGCCAACGCGCTGGCTGATGGTTCGACCGTTGAATGTTACTAGAACAGTGTAGAGGGTTGGTGTTTCAGCGGACCATAGATGCAGGTCTTCGCCTTGAAGCCTGTGTGTGTACACCTCCGAAGACGACCCAGACCATTTGTCAAGCGTGGCACCCTCAGGTGACAGAAGCTTCACAGTCATAGTACCTGGCTGGCCTTGAACTGTCGCATTCAGTTTAACAGTACCACTTTCAAAGGAGTCGTCAATCTCAGTATTGACAAAGTAGTCGATGATCGAAGAGCGAGGGAAAGGGACCAAATAGACATCTCGGAAGAGGCCCGACATCCACCACTGGTCTTGGTCCTCGATGTATGAAGCATCGGACCACTGATAGACACGGGCGGATAGCGAATTGGCTTCGCCAGGAGTAAGGTAGTCGGTGATGTCGAACTCGTGGGAGTTGCGGCTTCCTTGACTGTAGCCGACCTCGACACCGTTCACCCAGACGTGGAACGCGCTGTCGACGCCTTCGAAACGTAAGCGTATCTGCTGGTCCTCGCTCCAGTCTTGAGGTACTTCAAACTCCCGCCAGTACGAACCAGTGGGATTGATGTAGGAGACGTTGGGCGGCGTAACGGGGAAAGGGTAATCGATGTTGGTGTAGTGGGGGATTCCGTAGCCCTGGCGCTGCCACATGCCGGGGACTTCAATGTCGGCCCACGATGTCACGTTTGCCGTCTCCCAAAGGGGAGCTTCGAAGGGGCTCTGGTCGTAGTGGAACTTCCAAGTGCCGTTGAGGCTAAGGAACTCGCTTTGCTCACGGTCGAATGACAGGGCGGCATCTTCGCTGAGATATGAGTAGAAATGCGCGCGATGAGGCAGTGTGCTTCTATGCAAGACTTTCAGGTTTGTCCAATCGGGAACAGACGTTGGGAAGACCCCCAGACTCGAGATGAGATCCATGATGTCCAGAAGAGAGCTAATTTTGCCGTGTCACTCACCTCAAACCCATTCCCATTGCTGGTAAAATACAACGACTCTTATACTTGATACATTGCCAGGAGGACGCTACTCGGCGTCATTTTTACGCCCCGGCTTGGCCCATGTCACGACCATGTCCGCTGCGCCAAGAGCCATGTTCTCCCTTGCCCTCTCTCGTACGTCCACGCTCAAGTTCACCTGCGAATGGTTCAAGTCTTCTGCCGCGGAGTTCATGTGGGCCGCCATGACGACCCTGGCACGACAGCCTGAGCATCATGAACTTGAAAGTCATTCTCGTTCACGCAGTGTGACTGTCCAAGTTACGCCCGACTAGGGTGAGTATGCATATTTTGTGGTTCCCCCACTAGAACTGGTACGTTCTTGGCTCCCGGTCCAACAAACCCGCGATCATCATCGGAGCGGGGGAAATTAACGTAACGTTGGATATGGTCTGATGCCGATGGCCGCCGCTTGATCTTGGCCACATAGGCTTGTAATCGCCGATCAACGATCGCCTAAACTGGCCTCGTCGGTCGATCTATCCCCGAGCCGTAAGCCAACTTATACAGCTGACCATGCTCTGAGACTCCTTAGGCATAGGAAAGGTTTCCAGAATGCTCAAAGTAATGAGAAAGACAGCAATGGCACTCAGAATTGCATGCGAAGATGAATTCTTATGTTCATTGATACTTGAACAGCGAAACATCCCAAGTGGGCTTCAGGCTTGCAAAAAAGTTACAGTTGGCGGCCTGATCTCCGACAAGGTTAGTAAACGTGGTTAGCCAAAGGAATAGACGAATGCTACGTACTGAAAGTAAGCCACACATCGTGTGATTACTGACCCATATACTCTTTCCTGCCGTGGTGTTCCGAAAAAGCAGACAAGAGTTTCAAGTTGCACAGCTGTCCACGCATAACAAAGAGTGTGGACTCGGATTGTCTCAGCATTTGCTATTCCTATGACTATTTAGGTTCTGGCACCGTCAAGTATTTACGGCGAGAAGCCTTAGCCTTGGGTGGCTATGGGACGCCTGCAAACCTGCGGCTCAGATAGATCTATATGTGCACATACTGAATATATTTGGTGCCTTGGCTGTTTTTGGTCCATTTTTCTTAAGTATGGAAACCTCTCAAGACTGCGAGACAGTTGTGACGTGTACTACTGCGTCGACGTATAGCCGGTTCTCGACGGTGCAGGCCATGCCGGGCTTGAGCTTGAACATCCCATTCGGTCCCATTTGGAACGGCTCTGTGTTATCGAGCTTAACCTTGAGCTTCCCCATTGCGAGGGAGCATATGCGGACTTTGTCTGCGTCTGCGGGCCAGTAATGCGAATCGCCGGGCTTGACGACGATAACGTTGAAAAAGATGTCCTCAGACACCGTGACGGCTTGATTTGTCGTCAGATATGAGTTGGAAAACGCTACGTCTGGTACGTTGTTAGAGAGGTGTAATGTGCTTGCTAACAGCAGAGGGTGCTTACTAGTGGGTGACTCGCTACGCTCGTCACGGAGTCTACCGGGAGCTACTTCCCAGTCTTCCATTTCAAGAGAATTGGATGGCATCAAGTTGCCACTGAGGGATGTAACATTCGTAGCTGTAGCACTGGATGCAACGAGCTCAGCGGCAACCTTCGACGCCGCTAGGGAATGTCTCGTAACACGTCGAGGAGGACTGCCTGGAGGCGAGGTTTTGCTGCTGTGTGCACTCGGCGCTGACTTCGTTGCAGGAGGCAGGCGCCCTTTTGGAGATGATCGAGGTGGCTCTGTAGGCTGGGCTTCTTGGTTCGCAGAGTACGGTAAGGGATACTCATCTACCATAGCAATGCTAGAAAATGGTAGAGAAGGCGCGATAGTAGGGTATTCGGCATGTGTAGCTGGTGACGCGGATGTATAGATGCTGGCGGATAAGAAAGAGCAGTTGTTCTTCTCTCTCCTGAAATTCGCTCGCCACTGGCAGCCAGCACATGCTTTGTTCCCAATCTCCTTCAAGAAAGACGGAACCGCATCGGCCATGACGATACATGGTTGAAGAAAATTTTCGAAAGGGATTGTATCCTGATGACACACCGAGCACGCTTCTGGTGCTTCATCGCCAGTCAGATAGATGAGTAGTGCGACAGTGGCAAGAGGAGCTAAATGACCAACTCCCGTATACTTAAGCCGCCACGTATGCGGTAAGGGGCGCTTCCGAGGAAGCTTCAACAGAGCCTTGACATCTGGTCTTTCCAATGGCAGCTTGTAGGCAGGTGCGAGATGTGCCCTCAAGTATGTCAGAAGCTCCATGCTGTTCTGGACAGGCCGAGTCGGTTGGCTGCTGGATGCCGCTTGGGAAGGTTGCGAAGGACTTTTAGGGTGGAGCTGCGAGGTTGCGGCCTTAGCTGCCGGCCTTGAAGGTTCTGGCATGGGAGGCTCATTTCTTTGAAGAGAATTCTGTGACACCACAATGGGGGGAGAGTACTTGGTGCCCGCTTTCTTATAGTAGTCAATAAAGCTCAGTGTACCATCGAGGTTGTCATTGAACGTGGAGCTCCGGTGTTTGATCTGAGGGTAATCAGCGTTACAGAGGGCCCAGCAAGGTGAACAGCGGTGACTTACGGAAAAGTGCGCGCCAAGCGCGTGCATTTTGTTGAATATTTTGCGGCAGGTGCGCACCGGGCAGATAAATGGATGCATTGGATCGGAGTGTAGGTGGTAGTTCGTGGGCAGAATGGTACCACATGAGGACTCGATGGTACCTTGAGGTGTCCGCCATTGCAGATAACCGCGGGGATTTGCATCTTTTGTGAGATTGAGATCGGAAAATCCCTGCGAAAAAGGCTAGTACCTCGTGTTAAAAACAAAACTTCTCATGGGAAAGTCGACGAGGATCTCTTACATTGTCAGTCTGCATGGTGGTTGATGCAAGCTGGGGTTCCGAGATATCGCTCTGGCGATCCTCGGTTGTTTCGTCATCGTCCGTGGAATCCTCATGTGTATCGTCTACATCGTCATCATCTGTTGCTTCCTCGGAAGTGTCGATAATCTGTGGTGCTTCTTTGGTGGTGGTAATGAAGCTGGGCTTCGAAGTACCAAACGGAGGTAGGTTGGATTCCTCTGTAGTCCGCAAGACGGTGGCTTTCAGCCGATCAGCCTTACCAGCAGAGAGGGCATTCAATAGGTCCAGCTCGGTAGCCACAGAGCCTGGCGTCGAAATTGCTTGAGCGGATGTGTTGGTTGGGAAGTTTGGGAGTGGGATGGCGGTCATCCTTTGCTTGGCCTCATTGCCAGACGGGCCTTCAAGCACGGTAGCCACAGAGCCTGGCGTCGAAATTGCTTGAGCGGATGTGTTGGTTGGGAAGTTTGGGAGCGGGATGGCGGTCATCCTTCGCTTGGCCTCATTGCCAGACGGGCCTTCAAGCAGAGAACGTTTCTTCGAGGCCATGGTGTTGTATGATGCCGAATCACCTGTATTCCCGTTAGCACAAAAGCACCTTTATTGACTTGGGCCAAATAGACTGGTTACAGCCCAGGTCAACCAAAGCTCGAGCACGGAAAATGTGCTTCAATGAAGCAAGGGCTGGTGACTCTCAGGGTGAGGTAGTACTCACCGCGAAGCCAATCCTTTTCCGGTTCCGCCGTTCCCGTGATTTGGTTTGAGTCTGTGAGAGCACTTGGTCCAGACGCGATCCCATCCGACTCCCAGGACTCTTGCAAAGCCTGAATCCTGGAATGCCCCGCGAGGGTCTTCTTGTTGCCTGTCACATCGGGTTCGGGGGTTGCCTCAGCCTCAGGATATGGCGCCCGAGTCTTGATTGCCAGCGTGCCTTCCTGCTCGGGCCGAGTAATGTCGCCGACAACGTACGCAGGTTCGGGGCTGCGTGGTCCTGATTTAGCAGAAGTATCCGGGCCTAGTGGACGGTCGACGAGGCCCGGGTCCGGGATGATGTCTTGATCCGAATTGCTTTGCACCTGGGCCGAGGGGGGCGTTGCTATCAACCCCATGGACCCCCTTCCACTGAGGAGGGAAGTTGCCCAGGGTGGTGGTGCCTGCCCTTGGGGGTTTGGCTTCACGAGCGGTTTAACCGCCCCGGTCCTCTTCATCTTCCTTCCTGATGCTTCCCCGGCGCTTGAGACTGACGAAGGCGACGCATTGCGTAGAGCATTGTTTGCCGTGGTAGTGGTCGAGACGCCGATGTCATGTGATGGGTTGTTTGCTTGAGGATACTGGGGCCCGGGTGGCGGAGCGACCTGAGCGTTGGATGCCATTGTACTCCGTAAGACTCCCTGGATTCGGGTGACGATGGCTCACCCAACGGGTTACGATGCTAGACTGAGGTTGCTACAGAAGGGTCCTGCTAACTTGTGACGAATTTGAGAGTCGCTGCGCATCCGAGTTCCATTTCTGTTGTGTGGACAAATGAGAGAAAGCGTTTTAAATTCCAAGCCTGTGAATATTGGGCGCCAAAGCGTGAGTTGTCGTTGGAAGTCGAAGACCGCGGTAGCGTAGCGACGCGACACGCGACTGAAGTAGCAGGCACGAGGTCAAGGTACCTTCCCATACCGATTTAGTAGACAGGTACATTACAGGTGCCACCCCCCCATGAAGTCACCTTCTAGACCGAGCTGAGGCAGGTACAGATGGACACTGTCTGGCTGGACCTTGATAGGCCCTTTTTACATTTTTAGGGGTTTCAGTACCCGTGAGTGAGGTCAATCTCATCACACCACAAAGGAGGTGGTTTAACACCCAAACACGATCCTTGATATTTTGGGCGACCCAATGCTTCATTCAGTGAGGTGCCAACAAATTTTGAAGTAGCAGAAACTCGGATCCGGGTTATATTGCCATGTCACGGGGTGGAATAGCGAGAAACCTGTCTCATGCATAGCTAGTATGGATTTGTACAAGATGTTCTACACTCTAGATAGCCTCGCAGCATTCGTGCCCCGACGGCCATGATACACACATCATCCCAATCTCCCCCTTTTCTTCATGCTCGGACAGTCTCGTATCCCCCGGCACGCAAGCCCTCTTACCGCTTAGCCTTATTGGTTTTTTTGGCCTGCCTCTGCGCCTTCTGCTTGCTCTTCTTGTTCTTAGCAGCGGCCGCGGCGTTCCTCTGCTCCTGCAGCCTCTTGGACGCCGCGATAGTCCACTCATCTACCTCCATCGCCGCGAACTTGGCCTGCGCCGCCCGCTGACCGGCCATCGTGCGCTCCTGGGCATACCGTCTCTGCCTCAGCTTAGCCTTGCGGCTCATGCCCCCAACGTGGAGCTTTACGAGCCGTCCAATGCGCCAGTTGTCCTCGCGGTAAGAGTAGTCGTCGCGCAGCTTCAGCACCCTCGCAGGCTCCGTCGGTGCGCCTTTGGCCGTCCGGGCCGAGGGGCGGACGATCTGGGTCGGGATCCCCGAGGCGGAGATAGCGGGCGTCTCCACGGGCTTGGCAATCGGGTGCGCCGACATATTAAGCTTGCGCTTACGCTCGGCGTGCGTCGGGTAGGGCAGGACGTCGTCCTTATTGAAGACAACGCCAATGTATTTGCGATCCGGATGGCGTGCAGGATCGCGGTAGTACTTTACGTAGCCCGTGGCCATAGCATGGATCGTGTGGTCGCGGCCCATGATGCAGTTCTCGCCGGGCCACCAGAGAGAGCCGCGCTGTTTGTAGATGATGTTTCCGGGGATGACAAACTGATCTTTTCATGTGTGGGTTAGCAAGAAGCTATCCATGACGGCAATGACGAGTCCTCAATCGGCATCAGTCCGGCGACGACCAGGGACAGGACATACCACCCGTGCGCTTGGCTCCCAGCTTCTTCGGTATCGTTCGCTTGGGCGCGAGCTTGTAGGCACCCTGCGACTTGACGGAGGCGTATCGTCGCCCTGCTACAAGGGAATTCGCGGCGTCGGCCCGGAGCAGCTGTGCGGCGGTCGAGGTCGAAGTCTGGATCGGGGCGGTCGTACGCAGGAGACCGGCAGCAGCGGCCCTCAGGGGCTGCTGCAGATGGAATAGACGCATGAAGTGTGCTTCGTGGACGAACTGCCCATACGTCGTCGGTTCATCAATGGCCAACTTCGCGTCCTGACCAAGCTTTGCACTCTGCTGCACCTCAAGGGAGAATCAGCCGAGAGCATTTTTCCGGCTGAGTCAGCGGGTCGTGATAACGATAAGCACACTCGAGGTGTGGGTCCGGGTTTCTTCTGAGGTGGTCTTTTCGACAGCTAGGCGCATGCATCGGCGGGCTGAGAGACTTTGGAGCGGGCGACAAGCATCATCAGCACCCACTGCGGACAGGCGACAACAATTTGACACGAAGATTGGTTGAAAACCTAACGAGTCTCGCCGTACATTACAGCCGCCAATATGCGCCTCTTCGCTTCCCTCTCGTTCGTCATTCTAGCCCTGATTAGCTCCGCTCAGGCCCAGTTCGGCTTCTTCGATCAAATGTTCGGCGGCCAGCAGCAGCAGCAGCAGCAGCCCCAGAACGTCCCTAGCGACCCTTCGCAGTACCAGCAAAGATATGATGGATGTAGGTTGCTCCTGTACTCTTTCAGTCTTTCAAAGACACTCTTCTAACCTTCTAAGCCTACTGCGAAAACTACCTCTGCCCCGATACCCTCGCCTGTGTCCACTTCCCCCATCACTGCCCTTGCCCTTGGCCCGCGAACCAAGACAAGTTCGAGCTCACTGAGGGCAGTAGCCGAATCTGCGTTTCGAAAGGCGGCTTTGCTTCCGGTGAGGCTGCAAGGAAGGTTGAACTGGCTCGCAAGGGCCTGTTGTAGACGACAAAGACGGATAGGAGGATTTGCTCACGGATACCCATCAGCGGGCCAGTCATTCAAAAAGAAGTATTACAGAGCGCATCATGCAGCCCAATTTGATTTTTAGGCCGCCCGATTTAGGCAATGGCAAACATTGAATTTTCACAGGACGAAATGATTCGGAGTTGGTTGATAGGACAATTCAGACTCTATCAAAAATGCCAATTTTTGGCCGAAGCAAAAAGCCTACTGATTCGTGCTAACATGCTCCCATCCACTGGCGGAGACGCCGCCGGCTGGGGACAGGGCGTTTGCTGCAGTGGTGGTGAGTTACGACCATGACGGACACAAAGGCGCCAGAACGCCGCCAAACCCTTCCGTGATATCCACCCTAAACTCCTTTGCGTACCACGCTGCCGGATGCTGATCTCGATTTCAAGCCCCAAAAGCGTGAATAGTGCGTGATAATGCTCGTGATGCGTTCCCCGTGTTGTTGTCCTCTCTTGCAGTGCCGGCGCGCGCCGGCCAAGCACCAGCTTCGTCAGCCGATCAAACCTGGCCATTGGTGGCCTCGCTGGGCCGGGGGAGAGCAGGGACCGCAGGCGGCCGGGCGCCATCCTCGTCCCCGTCTTCGTCCTCGTCCTCAAGTAGCTCTTCGGGGTGGCCCAACAAGTGGGCCACATCCTTCATTTCGTAGTGCTTCTTGCGCAACTCCTCGAAACGACGGTGCTTCTCGCGTTCCTCGGGCGAAAGACCGGCCAGCTCGTCATCGTCACCGTGCGCGCTAGCGCTGTCATCGACGTGGACGGCCTTGAGGGCTTTTTCCTTGGACGATTCGCTCTCCGGGACCGCTTCCTCCGGCTCGCCAAGCGACATGAGAGGGATATCATCTTCCACGCTAGGACCAGTGCGAGCCGTGCGAGACTTCTTCTCATCGTTGGAGCCCTCCATCTCCTCGTCGTCCGAGGGGTCTTCAGTGGGGTCGTAGTGTTTGGCATAGGGAGTCTTGGGCTCGTCAATCTTCATGGTCGAGGTGCGCTCCTGCTCGGTCAGATAGAGGTTGGCCTCGTCCCACTTGAGGCGCTGAGAGGATTCGAGGTCTTGCACGTCGTCGCCCTGATGGGAGGGGGTGCGGCTTGATTGACGGCGGGAGCCGGGAGGACGGGCGGCTGATGAAGAGCGGCGATGGCCAGCGTTGTACTGGGTGTTGACTAGGGTGAGCTCCTTCTCGGTGAGCGGCCCCTCGTCAAGTGGCGAAGAGGGCGGAGACTTTTGATACGAATTCTTGAGGATGCCTGCAGTGGACGTTGGTCAGCCAGTCACCCAGGCGACGAGCAGCTCAGGGGTGAATCAAGGACTACGCACCTCTAGGACGCTTGGGATGGGGACCAGGAGGGGAATGGGTCGGAGGACTGCGGTCGACGATGGCGGCCATTTTGAAGGTGTTTGCGTTGCTGGGCTAGTGCGAACGGATTGCTAGCGGTGATGTTGACAGGATGAGCGTGATGCGAATCGCGTGAGGTCAGTTTCGGGGGAGAGCTTCTTAGCTGTATTTGTTGTGAGGTGGGTGGGTAGACAGATGGACAGGAATAGCGGGGTTTTTAGGAAATCCGGTGACGAAAGCCGACGGTTTTGTTTCTGGGGAGCCCGAGGATGATGGGGTGGTGGTTCGTGACCTGCAGGGTGCGGGTACAGGTTGCGGGTACAGGTTGCGGGTGCGTCGACCAGGGTCCAGTTGTCTTTTTTCTTTCTTTTTTTTTTTTTTTTTTTTTTGTGGTCTGGGTGGTTGATAGGAGCGAAGTACACTCTGCTGGGAGGTGATATTCTTTGCCCCTTCTTCCCTTCTGTTCTTCACTCTATTTTGGGTTCTTCCGTGAGGGTGATGGTTCTGAAACAAGGACAGGGAGAGAGGTTTTACAGGATGAAGATTGTGGGATGTTCCGGGGGGAAATGCGTGGCTTAGATGTTTGTCGAGACGATCTGGTAGTGGAGGTATGAGCGACTTTTTCCCTTGCCTGCCGAGAATTGACTATCTTGCAAAACGGCTGGTCTGCTGGCGGTAGTGTGGTGGAATTGGTGGCAGGGAGAGGTGGGCAATCCGAGCAGGTGAGCAGGGTAAGGCCGTTTAGAGGTTGTCGTCTTGTCTTATAATGGCGCAGGCATTCATCCAGCTGGATTTGATAGCTACCTTTACCTGCGTACATAAAGTACCTATTGTTGACTGGCAGGTAGGTGGTAGTATGGCACTTGCTGTGCCAGCTTGCTTGTAAAACAGGTGGACAGAGGTCTACATATCATCCACACTCGTACTCAACATCCATTCCTCAGTCCACAATGCCACATGGAGCCCAAGGATGCCAGAGTGGAAAGCAGGTTCCTGCTGCAGCGCCAGCTCGTGATGGGAGCAGGTTCCCTTCGCCCAGGTGCAGTGCAGTGTTTGGGGTCGGCTTGCGACAGTACATGGTACACACGCCGTAGTACAGGTAGGTAGGTATGTAGTTCTGCGGCACATCACCTTGCAGGACCCGACCGTCGGTCACATCTCACCAACTGAGGTTACATTCCCAGGCTTGTTGTTGACGTCCACATACAGGCGCTGACAACACGGACGGATATGTACATACATAATTACCTACAGGCACGGACATCTGGCAGGGAGGGTCCTATTTGAGATACCTATGAGAGTGTGGTCGTGTGAAAGGTGTGTGTGTACAAGATGTACCTGTATTTTCGGTCGGTCCTCTGTACCGTGTACACTAGCTAGGTAGCTCCTGGATTGTTTGTGTATTTGTGTGGGGGGAGGTGCAAACAGGCTGGGATCGCCATAATTTCTAGTGTAAATGGCGCTTAAGGCATTCTCTACCGGTAGTCCTTTCCCCCAGGCCCTGGCCTCCTTGCTGAGAAGTACCCGGTAGACACCAGGGCTCGTTGCAGCGCCGGGTTTATTTTGTTCCTCCTTTACTTCATCTCCTTGTACTTCCCTTCTCTGTAGTGGTTTTTCCCCCTCCACCTTGGGGCATTACGTGAGCCAAGGTATTCATCCGTAAGGCACTGGTGATTGCCTAAAATAGAGCCGGCTGGACAAGGCAGGGCCGGGACACATCGTACCTACTTGATGGGGCCCGTGTGCTGCCCATCTAGATGGGCTGTCATCAGTCCGTCCCTCGCCTCGATAAAGCACCTGTACGAGTACTAAATTGGCTCGTAGCGGGGTTGGGCCTGCTCGGGCACGTTTAGGCTCCGACTCGCGGTTTATTGAGGGCCGCCATGCGTCGGGCACGGCGAATGCTAGAAAGCGCTGGATGCCAGGAGATGCGGCCCAGTTAAGGGGACCGCCGAGTGGTACAGATATGATGTACTTTTGGCTGTAGGCGTGCCCGCTACATACTATGTACCTAGGTATCTACCTAGGTACTTAACCTTCCCATTGACTTCTCAGGTTGAGGCAGAGTGGACCCTTGCCCAGATCTCCGTTGTTTGATTGGTTGACTGACTGGGTGCTTCCTTCCGTCTGCACTGCATTGCATTGTTTCTGCATTTGGATCGCGATCGGCCGCAGTCAGCCAGAGACAAACCCACGGATTCACGGATCCCACGGGTGGATGAGGCGATAAAAGACAAGGATGGACGGAGCGAGTTGCTGCTGCTACTTCGTGCACTGCCCGGAAACCCAGCATCCTCACTGCCTCCGCAGCCTCACTGTTCGCATTAGGTAGGTATGACATGACATTACTCTACCTAGGCAGCGTGTATTTTGGGAAGCCGCACGTGTTGTCGCCCGCCTGCGCCACGCCATTCTGAAGTTCCTCCACTTCATGCAAGCGCACCCTCATCCGCTCATGTCCGGTCCAGGAATGTCTGCTGCGTGCGCTTTCATCTCACCATTCGAATCTGGCCCGGCCCGCCTCCCTTTCCAAAGTCCGATCCGTTCCATCTCTGTCGAGTGGAAGTTGCGTGGTTAAGGGGGGAGGCGAATACTAGGTCTTAGGTATGTTCGGACCTAGCATCATCCACTCAGTCCAGTCTGGCTTACTTCCTCTCACCCATTCTCATCCTAAACATTTCCTTTCTGCTACACGGCATATAATCTAGTTTTACTAGTTTGTAGCAATGGTCCTTCCTTCTAATCCCTCTTCTAGTGCAACTAGATTCCCTTTCGCTCTACCGTCGGCTCCATCGTGACGACGTCATCCGACATGCACTATCCCTCATTATACTGTGGCAACATCATCAATTCAAACCATGAGTCTTATTCATCCGTAGCAAACGGCGGCTGTCACCTCAAACAGTGACCTCATGCCGCATCCATGGACGAACTCTTGTCCACGCGAGCCAATCAAGGCATTACTAGCCAACAGCAACCCCCCCACCCCCAGACTCTTGGTCTTCATGCACTCCAGCTTGGAGTATACAGTGGAGTACTGTACACTGTAGTAGTCTGTTCAAACTACACTACCTAGTCTACGATGCACACGTCTAACCCATGGTGATTCTACCTATGCGGGTCCAGGGACTCTCGTGGGAGCACTGGACCTAGGACTGAAGCAAATGGGCCGACGCCCGCCATCATTTACACCACCAGCATTCCGTCATTCGTCGCATGGTAGCATCATTCCCAAATCTGGGGTGCAGTGTGCCCCATCCCTCGTCGTAGTTTTCCCCTCTAGCTCTCGTCACTACTGCGCGCCACTGTAGTATCCATTAGTCGAGTTAGTCGACTCTTGTTTCCTGGCCAGAAACACTGTGTGACCTATTAAACAGTCATCTTGTGGCGTTCCGTCTCATCTCTCCGAAACGCTGGTTCTTTCAACGCATCCGTTGCTTTGACTCCCGATAAACAAACCCAAACGGTCCGCATTTATCCTTCCGCCTATCCACGCGGCCCGGTCTCGAACCCCGCCCCGTGACCTCTTCCCCGTCCGGCAGCTTGTTCATTTGATATCTAAACTAGCCTACACGGTAAAGATTCCCCGTGGCGCCATGCCATCAATGTCCTGACGCCGCCGCATTTGAAATATCTCGTTAAGGCGAGGCCGAAAGCCGTATGTAGAAGAACACATAACAAACGTAGGAAACAAAACGCAGGCTATGACGATTTTTGAGTTGTTGTTGTCTGGGTATTCAGCTCTTAGTACCTGGCAGATTCATTATGAGCATCTAAGGGAGACGAATATTTGCAAAGTTGAGTGGATAAGACCCATCCCACGTCCGGCCCGCTCCAATATGGAGTCAAGTCGACGAAGCATAACTATCATAGTCAGCAGATTGCCTGCTCGGGAACGATACGTCAGAACTTATTCTTAGCAGCTTACAACTCCTTCTATCTACACCATGGAGACAGTAAAGCTTCATTGTCGTTGCTTTAATGAATTGATGGCTGTTCGTCCGCAATATTGTAGGGTGATTTCGTAAGGGAAACATGGGATATCGTACGGCACGTTTCTCAGTCTGGTCTATTCTGGACTTAATATGTAGTTCTCTGTACGGAGTACCGACATGCCAATCCCGGAGCATGGCTGGTTCCACACATCTTTTCTACACTGATTTCTGCCCTTAATAAAGCCCGCTCCGCGAAAGCCAGGAGCGCATGCCGTAAGCTACATCCCCTCTATTCTTTCCGAGACGGTACGGCCTTCAAAGTTACAGCCACTGGCTCCCCACTTCCCTTAGTCTGACGAAGCACTGCCTGGAGCTCTCCCCCGTTCGCGAGGTCTTTCAACACAACCTCCCGCGTCCTCTGTAGCCCCTCCAGCTCGTCAAGCCTCTCCAAAGTAGCCTCCAGCAGCTCATCAAAGCCCTCCTGGGCGCAAATCTCCCGGAAGGCGTTGTGCATCGGCACCGAGTCCGCTCTGACCATCGAATTGGAGTCGATGGAGAAGATGTTGAAGTGGTCGTGCTTCAGGATGAAGTCCGCCCTCGTCATGAGCTGTCTCGCCTCGTGTAGGGGCATCTCCGGAAGCTTGCCGTCTAGGATATCCTCGCGCGACATGGCCTTCTCCTTCTCCATTAGGGCCTTCGCCAGCAGAAATGCGGTGGTGGCGTAGTCCTGCTGGTCCTCTGCTTCCGGGTCCATGTCCCCACCCAGAATCCAGCACTGGCCCAGCAGCCAGCGCTTCTCCCTCTTGCGGATGAAGTCGCACGTCGCCAGCATGTCTTTGGACCGGGCCACGTGGTCCAGGAATCGGACGCGTCCGCCGACCTCCCTGTAGACGCGGTCCAGGACGTCTTGTGTCACGTCCTCGTGGAAGACCTTCTTGCGGAACTCCCTCAACGCCTCAACGGCGGGTCGCCGCGTCACGTCGTGGACGTCGGTGACAGACATGCGCGTGGCCTGCCACTTGAGGTGCTCGGTGGTGCTGTGGTCATCGCTGGTGAAAACGACGGTGACGAGACGGCTCGCCGCCCACATCTCGGCGCGCTGCTGGATGAGGTCGAGCAGGTTCCGGCCCTCCTCGTCGTCGCGTAGGACGTGGATGCGGTTGATGATCAGGATCAGCGGTTTTCGGATGTGTCTCTGTCTCAAGAGCGCCACCTTTTCCATCTTGTTGAAGGCCCTTTCGATGTCGAGGATGGCCGTTGTGTCGCGAGGTCCTTTGAAGTTGAACAAACTTCCTACGTAGTCCTCGTGGAACTCGAAATCCAGCGCCTTTCCGAGACGCAGACGGAAGACCTCGAGGTCGCTGTGAGCCTCTAGCATGGCGATGCCGACGCCATTGATCCTGCGCATCGCTTTGAGGATCATGGAGGTCTTTCCGGTGCCTTTCTCGCCGGTGATGAGGTGGTAATGACCGCGAACGCTTCCGTCAATGATGCCGTCGATGAGGTTCTGTTCTTTTCTCGGGATCCATTCATTCTCGCCCTCGAACTCCGTCAGGTCATCGGCAGACTGGAGTTTGTGGGGAGCGACGTGCCGACCCATGGCGGTCAGCTCCGGCGTCGAGAAGCCGACGCCGAAGGCATTATCCATCTTCCGCAGAACGAGGTCTTTGTAGTAGGCGTGGTAGGAGTATCCCGCCAACCCAAGCACGGCCACTGAGCCGAACGCGGTCGCACTGCCTTCTACAAGCTTCCAGAAAGTGCTCTTCCAGCCACTAGGCCCCTCGTGGTCGTTTTCATCTTTCTCTTTGCCGCCGCAAGAAGGACCGGCGGCGCATTGTGCTTGTTCCACCAAGATATAACGAGCTGGTGGTCGAGCTGTCCTGGTAGTGGGTGGGGATGCCTACAGGTTGTGTTCGAGATCAGCCGGTAATCATTTGACAAGTGGCCATTAAGCTTGGCGATTTATGCCTTATTCTTACCCTCCAGTGTCGTGGGACTGTACAGCGTCTAGCCATGTGCTGTTTTGCTGGCTCCTGTGTTGGATACAACAAATAAGTATGCCCTGACGATCGATCAAGCGAGCGTTCGAGGTGTGATGCGCCGTATATAGCCTGCTGCTAACGCGTCGCCGTCTCCCTTGGTTGTTTGGGTCTCAATCTCCACTGCCTAAGTCGGTGATTGTAGACTTTTTCCTAGCCGATTTAATTATCTTCAATGAATCCGGAAAGTAGCCCGCCGCGGACCGGGTGAGTGAAAAGAAAGAAGTGGACTCCTCCAGGTTGCGAAATTGCTGACGATGGGGTTGTTTGGCCAAGGCCCGCAGCCACGGTAATAACAAGGGTCTCGGGCCGCGTGCGTAGGCACGCCAAGGCCTCCTTTAAGCGATTCTGGATTTTGGTGATATTTGAAGAGACAGACATCTTGGCATACACTAATAATTCTCCACTATAGCTCACTACCGTACGCACTCGTGAGATTCGTCGACCACTAGTGAGCCGGCTAACGGCAATAGGTATCGCGGCCACTGTAAGAGGTATAGTGTGCTGGCAGAAACAGGGATCTGTATATACCTATTTTCTAACGCAACGGTTGTGTACGTACTAAAAGCAGGCTGGCTAGTTGGCAACGAAGGGTAGATAGTCTGACCGCCTTCTATAGTAAGATTAGCGCCATGGAGATCCACTAGCAGCTATCAGTAGGACGCTAGCTATATACAGCTAGCCGGCTCACTAGTGGTCGACGAATCTCACGAGTGCGTACGGTATGGCTAGCAAGCATGCCATATGCTCGCCTATTGTCTAGCGTAAAAGTTGAGCTTGATGAATGGAACCTTAATATGTTTGGTATTCTCACCAACTCGTTCGCGCTGATCTATACATACATATCGACTTCGTCCTTGTCCTTCCACCATTCCGGTAACGGCTCATAACATGAACTACTGCGAGTTAGTGATGATCTCCCTGTTTTTTTTTGTTGCAGTGTGGCTCTGGTTCATGGGGAGGAAGGCGCAGGCCGGTTCGATCTCCACCATTCTTGAGTCCTCGACTTGGTATTGGACATTAGGTCCTAGATTTTGTACTCTTACAGATGGGTTTAACTTGTCACTGCTCACTTCGAGAATTCTGGACAAAGATTCAATCACGACTGGATCCTTGAGATAACCTGAATTACAGCCATACTTAGACTTACTTCATGGTTTTGATGGATTGAAACTAATTCAGCCGAGGAACTCATCTCATCATCGCCTCGATAGTTCTGACAGACTTACCAGTTCCATGTCCGAGCTAGAGTTAGCCAGCGTTGATCCCGCGCCATCCTTTTGCGCCTTTTACTTATTATTGTCCCACGTAAACCATCCCAGCAGAACGAGAATCGTTGGTGGGATAGTAAATACAGAATAAACCCAGGTATGGGGTGAGAATGAATCTATGGCATGTTCGATTAATGTGTTAGGTCTCTGCAACCTCTTTGATGAGGAAACTAGACCCGGAATCTACCAAGTTCACCCCCGTGATTGGAAGTCCAACAATTTCATGCTGAAGATTGATGCGAGAAATTTTCCCGGCAGAATTGTTGCACCAAGAAGTGAGAGCGTTTTCGTCGCTGGCTATCATCCTTACTGGCATGCGCGAGCTGTCTTTGGTCGCCCGCGGTCTTGAGGATGAGCTTGGCATCATTCTGTGCTCTCTGAGCGGTAACGAACTTTATATTTCAAATTTATAGGTCGTTCTCTCGGTTGAGGCATAGTTGCTGAATGAAGTCGCACGTACTGTTACACCCTGCCGTTGTAGGCGCTTCACGGAAACGCATAGAACTCAAGACTGCCCAAGCGCACTTTCTGACACTTTAAGCGGCTGGCTAGGTTCTCATGAAGACGCTCCATTTGCTCTGTCTTCTCTTCCTAGAGTAGGTTCTGCCAGAAACATTACATGGCATCTTTCTTTCAAGATAGGATATTATATACAGCTCTCCAGGGCGATGTAAATCCAGATATATGTAAGGGCGCAGCTAGCTCATGCAGGAGTTTCAAGTGTCACGATACTGGCGTACAAACTCATGCAACTGCAGGAGTGAATCGTGTCCAACCTTTTGCATATACGCAGAGCTTTTGTCTCCCGAAATGGCGACTTGGATAATCTTCCTGGCCGCCCAGCAGAGTTCGCTGTTGTACCGTATAATACCACACTTTTCTAAAGCAGCTGGGTTCATGTCACCCCGGAAGCTCTCCCACAAGGTTTCCCATCTAGATATGGCGCGGAGAAGTGTATGAGCACTTGAGGGTAAGGTTCCCATAAGATTTGCAGAGAGACTCAAGCCGTTGAGTGCTGGCCATGTCAGCTCGGTCGAAAAGTTCGACGGCCGGTTTATGAATAGGACAACACATACCAAAGATCAATAATAGCAAGTCAGAGCCATTAATATCCTGGAAAGGAAAGCTCCCTAGTCCGCCCCAAGTCTCGCACATAAATGCATTGACGCAGAGCTTGAGCGATGATGTCCTCCTTGAGCCATCCAGCCCGAGTGCGCGTGCCTTCTCAAAGTATTCAGCCGTATCCTTCGCATCCCAGAGCTCCAGTGGGCTCGGAAGGTCGCACGTCAATTCAGCAGGCGTTAATGTTAGCGGGCAGTTGAACATACTGCTCTGCTGCCAATCTACCAACGCCGTCCATGTGGCCAGCCTGCGCAAATGTCAGTAATTAGCGTGGGAAACGGAAGACGGAATACAACGGACCGGATTTTCGACTCGTTGAGGACAAAGTCCTCGTACCGGAATACAGACGCATGCTTGGTCTGTGCCAGGCCTAGACATCTGACAGCGGATACAAGGGCTGGTAGTCGTTGAGTTCGATTCCTTCTCCGCGATGCAACGTCGTTCCTGAAGAGCTGGATACAGTGGACCATGAGGGCGGCTTGTAGCGTCGCCTGAACCTCATCGGTGAATTCTGGAGTGGACCCGGGCGGCATCAATCTGCCTAAGCTGCGGAAAATATATTCCTCGGCAAGCCTTAGAAAACCACGGGCAGCTAACACATCATCGCTTGGCGGGAATCTAAGAGACCCAGCAAGCGCAGCAGCGAGGAGCAAGAGTTTATGGGTACGCTCTGCGCCAAAGTCTGGTCGGTGAATGATGGGGAAGTCTAGGTGACTCACAAGAAAGTACGATGCTGAGAATTTGGAAAGGTTCTCCGCCGAGAGCACCGACTTCGCGATGTTCAGGTCAAAGGAGCTATCGTACCAAGGATCAGTGGTTATCAAGCTGTCATGAAGTTCATGCATGTCTGATACTATCTCATCAGCACGAGACCTCCAACTTTTGAACTCGACCGGAGAGACTGCGGCATTGGGTGGGGCGTTTTGAGTAGAGCATTCACTGGGCTGGAAGTCCATCAGCTCAGGGGAGAAACTGGATGCGAAACCGTACGGAAAGAAAGCAAAGTCCTCTTCGGTCGAGGGATATTGAGGAAATTCGACAGGCTTCATGCTTGAGCCTAAGCAGTCGCCTTCTGTCCTACTGGCTACCTCATCGGCCAGGAACTCAAGCATGTTATCCGAGTTCGGGTTTGTCACACCCAGAAGGAAGGCGACGGTGATCTTGGTGCGGTCATTGTCATTGTTAGGCGTGCCAACTGTTGAGGAGGCTGAGGATGAGGAGGGGGCGGGAGAGACGTCAGTGGTAGCTGTTGTTGTTCCTTCCAGCCTGCGATAGGTACACGTTAATCTACGAGAGGCACAGCGCTCGCAGGGATCCGATGTGTCGCATGACTGCTTGCTGTGAAAGCAGGCATCACAAGCGCGAGGCTTCTGGCCGCGTTTCAGACTTGGAAGGGTTTCTTGATCTTGCTTGTTAGGGCAGTGCATCATGTGTTTTCGGCAGACATCGCTATCCGATGATGAGCTGAAATCTTGTCCAAGAAGTGTTTGAAATCAGTGCATACCGTCTAGTGAATACCTTCTCGCAATAAACGCAGTTGTGGCGGGCTACCTCAATGTCTGTAGTTTATAAGTATTTGAAGGAACTGGGGCCCTAGTACTGCCAACGCATCTCAATACAAGGAATATACAATTCAAATAGGGCTCAGGGTTATGGCTACATTCTGTGGGAAGAAGCTACACCGTATCCGTATCGAGACTGGTCGCAGTAAGGTACGCAGAGACCGAAGAGCTGCCACTTTAGATCGGAAACGAGAGGGGGCAGAAAGAACTGGAATGAAGAACTGGGAAGTATAAAAAAAAAAAAAACATTATACTTACGAGTAGACTCATGCCGGCGCAAATGGGCGCTCCTCTGGTACTGCTTCCCACAGGTGGCACAGGTGTGACGATCAATGGAAGAAGCTGACATAATATCGTTTCCAACAGCGGTGAGAGCCTCAATAACTGCAGACAGGGGCAGCTTTTTCCCAGCGTTGACAGGATAGGATTAGAAAGAATTTCAAGCGGTTGATGGCGTGTGGGTGTGTTCGGACGGTTGGGAGGTAGTGTATGTAGTTGGTGGGTTTTGGCCGAAGTTACGACTCGGCACGATGCAAACGGCAAGGGCCGCCCCCACTGTCCGCAATGGCTGATGACGTCGGACAAATCTAAGGCCGCGCAGTACGTCGTTACCTGCAGGTGGGTTTTCACCTTAATCCAGCGGGGTCCACTACCTCAGTCCGTTGCGTTGGCAGCGTCCAAAACCCATTTTTTAGTCTATGCGCTTACGCCACATAAATGCAGCACCTATACAAATTTAGGTTTTTTAGGCAGTAAAATACAAAATCTGTATTTTAGTAACATTTAATAGTTATAATTTAAAGACACATAATAATAATAATAATAAGGGTATTTAGACCTATATAAAGGCTACTTGTTAGTAATAACCTCTTCTTTATATATAATAGCTAGCCTATTAAGTAACTAAGTTACTAAAGCTATAAGAGTAGTCTTAGACACTAACTATACGTTTATATAAAAAAGTAAAGTCTATAAAGTCTATAATAACTTTTCTTTTACTATCCTTTGCTATTATTATTAAATAAATATACCCTTAAATAAATATAATAGTACTAAGGTTAAATAAAGATAAGTAAAAGAAAATAGTATAAATACTAGAGTTATTTAAAAAAACTAATAAAAAAATTACTATATAAATAAGTTATAGTACTTATATAGTCTAGTAATAGTATTATTATTATAAAGTAACTAGCTATATAGTAGTTTATCTTTTTAGTTAGTAAAGCTATATAAAGTTAGAAGTATAGTAACTATATAAGTTATTAAAGCTTTTTATTTACTATAATAACCTTACTCTTAAAGAAATATAGGATTTCTTTTATAAGTAATTTAATATAGAGGTATATAAGTTAAAGATTAGTTAGTAACTTTATAAGGCTAGTTAGACTTTAAAGTTAATTTATATTATTACTACCTAGAGGGATAAAGTATTATAGTGTAGCTAGATATATACTATTTATAGGTATTACCTAAAGTAATTAGTATTTATTAATAAGTTAGGTATTAATAAATATATAAGTGTATAAAGAATAGGCTAAGCACTAAAAGGTCTAGTACCTTATTAAAAAGATAAGCTTAAATATAGGCAGTAATACTAAATACTTTTTACTTTTACTATAGATAGTATATTTAATATATTAATATACCTAGTGTTAAATAGGCTTTATATATATATATACTTAGTAAAACGTAGGGGTAAATTAACTTTTTATTAGGTGACTAAACAGGTCTACTCTACTATTGTTGTATAAAGCAGTTATATACTGCTTAAGTATAACTTAAGTTATTCTAGCTAACTAAAAGTATAATCCCCTCTTGGCTTAACTAAGGGCTAAATAACTAGTCTATGCCCTTTAACCTTAAATTATAAACTATTTATAGTTAACTAACTAGGTGTTATATAATTATTAGTATTAATATTTTAACACTTACTTTTCTTTTTTATAATTATATATACCTTTACGTTAACTAATTAGATAGTCTTAATTAGTTCTTATAATAACTTTACTTTTAGTAGCCTACTATTATATATAAAGTTATCTAAACAAAAATAAACTTTAAATATACCTTTTCTAAGAGTAAATATAAGGTAATACTTACTAAGCTAATTAAATCTATTCTTTTATATATACCTTACTATTTAGTTATTTTTAAATAGTTACTTACTTATATAACAAGTGTTTATTTTACTTTTACTTCTTCCTTTGCCTTACGTTTATATACTTTTCTTTTTTTATATAATTAGTAGCCTTAACTTCTCTTATATAAATACCTTCTACCTTTTACCTTCTTTTTCTCTTTTTCTTTTTTCTTCTTTATGCTTTTTAATAATAATAAATAATATATAAAAGCTTACTAGTATAGTAACCTTACTACTTCCTCTTCTTTATCTCTCTTGTATATTAATTAATTAATAACTTCTCTTTTTCTCTTAACTTATTAATTATTTATTACTTTATATATATCTTCTTCTTCTTGTTATTATTAACTTTACTAATTTATAATAGACCCTTTTTATATATTATAATAGCTTAGCTTAGACCTTAGCCTTTAGTTATTAGTTCCCTTAGGGTTTAATAGGACTAGAATAGTGTAACCTAGCTTTATATCCTAATAGGTAACACCTAAAACTACACTTTTCTTTTAGCTTTTACTATTAATATATAAGGTTCTTTTTTCCTTATTATAGTTTATATATATAACTTTTATTAAACCTTTAGGATAAAGAATAAAGGTTATTAATATACTCTTATATAATATTACTATTTATCTTAATACTAATACTTCTGTTTAAGAGTTTATTACTAAAGTAATTTAATATAAAGACTACTTTTATATAATACTTATTTAGTCTTATAGCTAACTTATATAGGCTTACCCTTAAAAGTGTATAAATAATATACTTTACTACTTTACTAACTACTGTTACCTAAATAACTATTAAGGAAAAGTATATAGTAAGTATATTTAGATAAGCTATAAAGCTTAATATAGCTATTATAGCTAAAGAGAGATTTCTTTAGGTAATAATAGTAGTAATTCTAGTAATAGTAATAATAGCTAAGGTAACTATAAGAAACTATTAGTCTCTAAGGGCTAAAACCTTTGTACACTAAGGAAATATTTAGAAAAAGGTATTAGGGAGAAGGGCTTCTTCCTTAGCTTTAGTGCTAAGCCCTAATCCTTAATTAGGATTAGATCTAAGGTATATTTTCCTTTATATAAGCTAAGTAATAAGTAAATATAAAAGGTTTATATACTCTCTATAACCTAGTAGGAATATATTTTTTATATAGTAGATTTATATACTTTAGTTATAGTTAAGGTCTTTAGTCTAGTTAGGTTTAGAATATATATTTAGGGTTTTAGAGTTAAATAATACCCTTTTTATAGTATAAGGTAAATACTTTATATAAATTAATTATTAATTAGTCTTCTTAATTTATTTAATATATACTTTAATTTAGATCTTTAGTGTGTTTATACTAACTAGCTTTTTAAGGCTAAAGTTTAGTAATTTCTTAGTAAGTATATCTACTAGGTTATCTTTTTATTAATCTATTTAACCTCTAAAATCTTTTTCTTCTTATATAATTTATATAGGCTTATAATATTAATTATAAGTTACTTTTTATCTATTATTCCTAATTATATAAGATATTTATATAGTAAATAAAGTCTAAATATATAATAACTAGAATCCTTAGAATATTAAGTATATAAAGGATCCTATTAAGTGTTATACTTAATATAATTCTATTATTAAAACCTATTATTATACTATAAAGCTTACTTATAAGTATACTTTATATAACTCTTTTACACTTAGTAAAGCTTTAATAATAATATTACCTTAGATTTTAAAGTTAGTCTTTATATAAGTAACTTTTTCTACTAGTATAATAATAAAACTAAGTTATAATATTAGGTCTATATTATTAGTAAATAATTTATTAGTAAAGATATATATCTTTATATAAGTAAAAGAAAAAGGTATATAGGTAAATCCTCTCTCTAGGTTATCTATTTACTATTTAATTTATATATTTAGGTCCTTAATTACCTAAGGGGTATCTCCCTTAGTCTAAGTAGTAATTACTAGATTATATAATGCCTCTAGTTAATAGATTAAGGTAATATATACTTCTTTTGTCCTCTAAGAGATATATTACTAAAGAGAATTATCTAAAGTCTTATTAACTATCTATAGTTAATTTACTTAACCTTTCTAGGTAAAGGTAATATTTTTATTATTATATATATAGATATATTTACTATTAAAGTTAGCCTAAGTTCCTAGAGATAAAATAGTTTTTAGCTTTATATAAATCCTTTTTTTTAATAACTTTTTTTTTCTTTAGTTAAGAATTATATAGTTATAAATAAAAAGGTATTATTAGTTTATATAACTATAATTCTAAAGTTATCTTTGTCTATAGTATATAAAAGTATAGATTATATATAGACTAGGTTATCTTTAACTCCTCTTTATAGTATTTAATATAGGTCTTATACTAGTATAGGCCTAACTTTATAAGGCTATATAATAGTAAAACTACCTAAAGAAGTATATCTTCTAGGTATTATTCTTCTAACTTTTTAGTAGTTATATAAGGATTATTTTACTAAAGGGGTCCTTAGATTAAGTGTATACTTAGGTAATATCTTTAACTCCCTTAGTACTTATAGTCTTATATAAGGGTTAGGCCTAGAGCTAGTATAAGGCACTAGCTTATCCTTTAGATAGTTAATACTTAAGTAAAAAGTAATTTCTTTCCTTATTACTAAACCTTTATATAATAAGCCTAGATTTCTTATATAGCTTATTATTAAGGTTCTTTACTTTTTATACTATATATATCTTATAGATGTAGACACTTTAGTAGCTCCTTAGGTTATATTATATAACCTTTAAAACACTTTGTCCTATTAAGGAATTAATCTTAACCTTGTCTAACTCTTTATATAGAGCTTCTAGGTTATAATAATATTATTAAGATAAAGCTTAACTATAAGGTTATAGTAATCTTTTTCTTTTAGGTTAAGAATATCCTTTAGGATCTTTATATAGGCCTTAGTTAACCTTTTTTAGTCTTCTTCTTTGTCTAGGTTACTCTATAGAGTTAGTTAAGTAATATTATTATCTAAAGGGTTATTAAAGGTTAGTTCTCTATAATAAGGCTTAATATATATTATATAAAACTAGGTAAGACTATTTACTATATTAATAGTAATTATATATCCTTTAATACCCTAGATTTTATATAGGCCTATTTATCCTTTGTTTTCTTTTTACACTAGGACTTTACTCTAGATAAGAAGTAATAGTATAGCCTAGAGATTTAGGCTATT